CCGGTCCAATTACTCCGCTTAGCATGCGGTGAACTCAATGAGATCTTGAGAACTAGACTTAAGATGGTGTTGGAACTGGTTTTATTAATCTGGATGTTTTGAATTCTGGTCGAATCAAAGTTGGCAGATTTATAAACACCACAGAGACTCGGCCACGCTTCAGACTAGGAAGGTTCTGATTGGATCAGTACAGCAATGTTTCATGTGATTGTTTACCGTACATGTGTCAGTGTGTCTAGTGAACTAGATTAAGTCATATTACTTATTAAAACATATTAATCATGACATTGTGATTTCACAGATTGGTCACATTGTATTATTGACTAACAGTTGTTTTGATTAGCTTTATTAAAAATAGAGTTCATTGATTTAATTAAGAAAAGAGTCTCCTCATCTTCTTTCATCTTTTGCTGGAAAGTTAACAGTTTAGAAGCAAATGCATGACCTTGAGGCTGTCGCATGCACTCGGGCGCTGTGTCAGAGGCAACTGTGGAAAGAGGTTAAATAACCTTGAGGAATAGCTCCTTCATCACGTTACATATTTCTTCGGCCTTTCACCATTCTTATACGATCTCAGTCTGTCCACTCAAATGGATCCAAGCTTTTAAAGAGGCTAGCAGGGTTGGAGGGAGGGATGTGGGGTATTACGTATGAAAGGGAGGGGTTGTGGGACCTGTGGGGTTAACACAAAACAGTTATCAAGCCCATCTAAAGTGGTGAAGATCATCAATATACATCTTGACAAAAGGGGACTACAAACAATAACTCCATGCGTCATTACACAACAGTCATCAATTCCTTTCTTGACATATAGGGCCATTAAAGATCATATCACAAAAGGTCATAAAACAATAGACCTGTCAAAAAGCTTGACGAAAGGTGGTTCCTTATACTCTCATGTGTAATCACCACTATGTGCAGATTATATAAAGAATAGGAATAATGACCTTTGGGATACAAGGAGCTTTACAGCTCCTAGAAACCCTCTGCTGCTTCCTTCCTAGGTCACTTAGGATGTGGCCTTCCCTGCTTTCTCCAGGTCCATCCTTCACCTGTAAGCTCACATCCTTGCAGCCACAGGAAAAGATGCATCTTATTAGTTCTGCACGGCGCTCACTGAAGAGTCTTTCTTTGGAGCAAAGTGAGGAGGAACTTCGACAGGCTTTCACTGGCACACAGTGGGTGGGTTTTCTTGCATCTCCTAAGCCCTCTCTGCCTTCCCCGCTCTCGTGAAGTATTCTTTTAATCGAGAATCACAGAAAAATGCCCACAGAATGAGTCAGCGAATGAAAAACACAGAGAGGGAGGATATCTGTCACAGTTTGAGATACTGATAGGGTGTCACAGAAACAAACTCCATCATGTTGTTCTCACTTCTCCACTCTTTTCCTGCGTAGCTGTCAGATGTTCGGGACTATTCGACAGCTCTCTGACCGGTTTAGATGTGATTTTTAAAAAATATACTTGAAGTATTGTTTATTATCCTGCCACAAACATGGCGTGGCGTCACCGTGAAGCTGATGAAGAAACGCTCCGTCAGCAATTTCTGATTTACTCACTAGAAGGGAAAAGTAAAATCAAATAAAAACCCTCCTTCTGAAAATCAACATAAATATAGTACATTTGAGATGCCAAAGGACTTGCTGTCTCCTTGGCAACAGTCTCCAAGCAACCATTACTCCTCAAAGCATCCCTCCAACCCCGTCTCTCTGTGTCTGATTCTCTCCCTCTCTTCAACCCCTCTGCATCTTTGCCAGATTTACTTCTTGTCAAGAGTTCTTTGGTGCATCTACTTCACAGTTAGAATCCGAGAACTGCACCTATCTGATGGGATCTCTGGTATCCTTAGTTTGATAGAGGCTATTAAAGGTACATTTGTGGTTATTTGGGCTTTTATTTCAAGATTAGGAAATGTGCTCATATGCCTTCGCACCTGATTTACCTGCAATGTGGTGAAACGTTGCAATTGATCCACAAACTGTCAAAAAAAAACCCGCTAAGTTATTTTTAGGTAAAACCCCAAAGATCAAATGAGTGGTTTCTCTAACACGACACAATAAAAATGTTGTTTTTAAGACATGAGCTTCCAAAATTGTAGTGAACATTATCAAAAGTCCTCTGATCCACACTCCCACAAGCACTTCGTTGATCCAACAACAAAATTAAACTAATTAATCCCACAGAAGCCAAGTTGTGTTTAATGTGCAAAAGAAAAAGGTGAGAATGTCCTTTTTTATTTCTCATCCTCTGTCTACCTTGTTGGAATCTGGAGCTCTCCTGTTTTTCTATTAGCTGGCCTTTTGACTGTCATACCTGAAAAGGAACACAAGCAAAGCGATAAATAGTGATGCTTCGCTGGCAGCTTTTATTCCAGTGCACTGAGGCAATTAATAACCAATTTAAATACACTTGAGTCATACAAGTCAAAATGTCTGCTGTGAGTCATTTCAATTTTCCTCCATTTGTGTCACCCAGAACGGCTCTGTTGCAGTACAAATGTTTTTCGCTCTAAAAGGGCAATTCATGCTCGGGTTCAGACAGGAGACTTTGTGTGTAATTCGAGGTGTAATTACAGCACAGAGCTGGACTGTAATGTCTGTGCAGAACAAGAAGCAGTTGTGCAGGGAAGAAAGGCAAGATCGCAAAAGCAGCCGAGCTCTAGAGCCAACAGAGCAACAAAATGGAATATCTAAAGTTGGTTCTTCTCATCCTCTTGGAACGTTTGGTTTGCTCCCACTTCTCTGAGATTCAAGGCAGAGCTCAGTAAAATCAGAGCAGAAATGTCAACCCTAGCATTACCAAGTGTTTACTGTCATGAAGTTAAGAACACATGTTTGTTTATTTATTTACAATCAGGTCCAGGATTATTTCTACAGTTAAAAACTAGAACCCAAAATCACAACAGGCGGTGTGTCTTTAGTGGGTGCAGTTTAGGATTTAGTTCCAAATGAATAAAGGCCCCTCAAAGGAACTGTTTTGCAGTAAAATGGTATCTTTCTGTGTTGGTGCAGTTTGTTCATATTTAAAATAAACATATTCATGCTAGTGGAGATTGCCTTGAAAAGGGTCTTTTGCACCTGTCTTCTGCAACCCCGCTGACCTGGACTCGGATAAGAGAGTGAAAACAGACAGGATACAGATGGATATTCATACATACAAAAAATAAAAATAAAATAAAATAAAGAAAACACACTTGGGCTTCTGTTAATTCCTACTGAGGCAAAAATATCTGATTTTCAAAGTATTTAATCATTTACTGAAGTCAGTCAGGATGACAAATTGTATTTACTATATCCCTAAAGCTGGTGGAATCAGCATTTCAAAAATAATAAAGGAGCATCTGTGGGACTGTTGCCTTATATGCAAAATTTACTTTTCGGAGCTTTTGACCGTGTGCTATTGTAATTTCTTCATGCTGCAAATCATCTGCTGGTCTGCCTAGCAGCTGCAGAAGCCTGGATGGTTCATCGTGGCCCGCTCCTCTTCATCAAAGGAGTCTGGATCCTTCCTCTCCTGGACTGTAAACCAAAGCTGTGGCCTCGACTCACATGACTTGGGCTGGAGTCAGACTCGAGTCATTATTTTAATGACTACTGACTTGACTTGATACAATCTACAAAGACTTACGACTTGACTCGGACTTGAATGCCAATGACTTGCGACTTGAATCGACTTGCATCAGTTGACTTGATGATGACTTGAGCATATTTGATATTTTAGCACAGAAGCAGCACGACATGGACAAAAATCATAAATCATTCTTCGTTCTGGGTTTGATTTACTGCTAAATGCAGCAGCACTTTGCTTATAAACAGTTCAGTTGCACTTTCTGCTTGTTTGAGCAAATAAATGAAAATGTGACAAAATGTGACAAAATTAACCTGAACATTGTTCTTCCCTTTGTTCTTCCTGTTAACAACACTTGAAAAACCAAATTTTATTTTTCTCTGCCACATTTCCCTTCTGCTTTGTTGTGCAGTTCAAAAGGAAAAGGCTGCAAAAGCATTTTTAATCAGCCTGGTACTCTAATTATTGCATCCTCACATTTGACATTTCACTGTATCATATACATTACATCATAATTCTTATCTGTAACATATAGGTAACACTTTACACACACACACACACGCGCACACACACACACATATATATATATATATATATATATATATATATATATATATATATATATATATATATATATATATATATATATATATATATATATATATATATATATACATATATATATATATATATATATATATATATATACATATATATATATATATATATATATATATATACATATATATATATATATATATATATACATATATATATATATATATATATATATACATATATATATACATATATATATATATATATATATATATACATATATATATATATATATATATATATATATATATATATATATATATATATATATATATATATATATATATATATACATATATGCAATGGACTGGCTCTCTGTCCAGGGTGTACCCCGCCTGATTGCCCATTGACCGCTGGAGATAGACACCAGCCCCCCCCCACCCCCACCCCCACCCCCACCCCCCGCGCGATCCTACATGGAAGCAGGTTCAGATTATATATATATATATATATATATATATATATATATATATATATATATATATATATATATATATATATATACCTACAGGGTCATGTCTACATTTTATATATACAATATATACATTATATATATATTATATATAATTTATATATTATATATACATTATATATAATATATACATTATATATATAATATATACAGTACATATATAGATAGATGATAGATAGATAGATAGATAGATAGATAGATAGATAGATAGATAAACAATAATTTATTTTCATTCATTTATATATATATATATATATATATATATATATATATATATATATATATATATATATATATCTCCTTATATCCTTAAAAAGGTATCAAAAGAAAACTGATAAAGACGTCAAACCAAACTCTTTATTCTCAGTGGGAAACATGAGAGTGTTCAGTGGACGGTATCAAACAACAGAGGATGCATGAGTGATGACAGCAGGCTTGGTAAAATACCTGATCAGCATTTCCAGAACGTTCTCTCCTTGAATCACCTGTTTGGCCAACCTCCACAGAAGTCAGTGTGGTTACATGAAACAATTCCAGCAGTTAAAATGAAAAATAGAGAAGGTGACATCAGCCACAGGTAGATTAGTGTTGTTTTGTTTTGTTTTGTTTGTCGTCCTGTGCTCCGGCAGCATCCCTGTGGCCTCTGACTCAGCTTTGTGTGAAGAAGAGAGTCCTGCCCTACTGTCCGTATTTTTATCCGTTGTTCCCCGCTGCAGTAAAGGGTTTGCTGTGCTGATGCTCATGGCACATTCAGCAGATATATGGCTTGAGTGCTGATGTTTTAACCTTGTAGAAAAGTCTCAGATGAACACATGAAATACTATTGGTGCTTCCTTTATCAAGCACTCCTTCAAAAAGTCAAACACAAAAGATGGATGGAGCGTGGACCAGTCTTTTGAAGTAAATAGTCCTGCCTTTGGGATGGCATTCCTCGAAACACTAGCAAGATTGTGCATTAGCTATCAGCCACTGAGGTACTTTAATTCAAGGACTGCAAAACCTACAGGGTCATGTCTACATTATTCTACCTGCATGCTATAAAACAGAGTCTATAACAGGTTTACTTTAAGTTGCTATCAGTCTCTACATTTTTAGTGCGTGCTATTTGTGTGTGTGTTTCATTTGTGACACCGTCCTCCCCCTCATTAAGCGTGAAATCAGCTCCAGCTGATTTTCTTTCCCCTGACCTCCTCAGGTAACGAGTGCTGGATGATTCACCGGAGCTGCAAATCAACCCCGCCTCCTTATCTGTCCCTCCGTCTGTCTCTCTGATGCGTTCACAGCAATCCAGGCTGTCAGATCTATCCTTTTTCTTTTTCTCCATCACTTTTTCTTCATTTTCCCCCACCCTTGGCCTTTATCTGCCACAGCCAGCTTCCCATCTTTTAAAAATCTCTCTTGAGCATCTTGTCCATCATCTTCTATCGATTAGCCTCCTTTATCTTTTGCTCTTTTTCTCCTGTGTCTGTCTGTTGTGTGTTTGTGTTCATGTGGAGTGTGTTTCTCTCCCTGTGTGTTTGCATTTGTGTGTGTCACAGTGCGCTGAGGTCATGGCAGGAGCGAGATTTCTGACGGAAGATCTTGCTCCCCCGGTGGCGGCTCATTTCCCTGTAGCGGCCTCGATCCCGGTCCCGGTCTCTGCCGTATGAGCGTGGCACCAAGCCAGCCAAGAAGCGCTTGGCACGGCTTGTTAGGCTCTCCCTGCGCCCTGACCCTGGATCACCGTCTGTCCAGCCCGGGCCCATGCAGTCCCCTCTGGCAGTCCGCACAGCCGCTTCCAGCAGCTCGTTGGTGCCGTGGTCCAAAGAGGCAGAGACTTCTAGGTAGAGACAGTCGAACATCATGGCGCTGGACTGGGCCTCTGGTGGGAAAAAGAGGAGAATAAACCTTTTTTTTTTTTTTGATGTTGCTCATTAAACCAGGCTCATGGTGGCAGCTGCAGACAGCAATTAGAGGCAGAGGTTTGATGATGAAAGCATCATGTAAATGAGCTGTGTGACGTGCATCACTGGCAGGTAATACCCCTGGATGTTCTCTGTTTGGGTGCCTCTTAAGCAGGGGTGTCAAATATGCGGCCCGCGGGCCGGATCTGGCCCACAAGCGGGTTAAATCCGGCCCGCGAGATGGTTGTGTAAACTTTATTTTCATACTTTACAATGTAGTTAAAATAAACGTATCTTTGTGAGCAAGTTTTCTCTGTAATGAGTATAAATAAAACAAAGCTGCGCTCAAGGCTCACACAAGAACTTGAATCACATCCTGAAGTTGGCCGCCACTCAGGATGTGACTTCTGATATTGATGTGCTGGTGAAAGCTAAAAGATGTAAAGTAAAATGAGTCAAATATACTTTAAGTGCTGCATAAAACTGATCTAGCCATGTGATCTGTAAGCTCTTTGAATCACTAAGGAATGTTTTTAGTTGTTGATTTTTTAATTTTTTTCAAATTTTCAAGTACACTTCAGGTGTTGTACTTGTACTACATTGTCCTCGGGCTCCAGCCTTGTTTTATATTGATTGTATTAAAACAAAGAAAACAATCTGAAGTATTTTTTTTTATTTACCGGTCCGGCCCACTTGGGACTAGATTTCCCTCAATGTGGCCCCTGAGCTAAAATGAGTTTGACACCCCTGCTCTTAAGCATTTGTCATCTATGACCAAGCTGTGACAAATTGAGTCCTGTTACAGAGAGGATGGGAAATTCTTTCTGTTTGCTGCTCATCTGAGAAATAGACGTTGCTACAAAGGCAGCGCTGTGTCTTCTGATAAGCCTCTGAGCATCAAAAAAAGATAAATATACTTTTGGATGGGTTTTCCACAGAAAAAAAGAGAACGATTAAACTGTAGACCTCAACAGATCCACTCTAATAGATCTACATATTTCAATATCACACATAGAGAACATGAGCAAATACAAAACACAAGGTGTTTCTCAATGCCAAGGAACCTCGCCTTGATGTCTTGGCCCCGCTCTGGTTGCCTAGGAGACACGTCACCGGGAGCCGCCAAGATATTTTCCAATGTTCATGTTCTATCGAGGCGTGTGTTCTCCGTTTGTTAGCCGTTTAGCTAGCTGAGCAAGGATACACTGGAGGTGTCTTGCAGGGTAGCCTTGGTCAAAAATTACCCAGAATACACCGCTGTGTTTTCAAAAGGATGGTGGATCAGAAGCCGGCAGCTACTTCGGGGACAATTTTTGAGTTTAAAAGTAAGACAACTAATTTAAAATGTTTTTTTTTTTAGATCCAAAGAAGTTATCTATGGTTGGTTAGGTGCTTAGTAGTTGCAGCTTCGTTGGCTAGCGGGAAGTAACTCGCTTATATTTTTTATTTAATAAACATATACACAATTTAAAAAGTAAAAGGCTCGTTATTAATTTATATTGAAACTAATACGAATAAAATATAACGTTATCTCCCGTGTCACGTGACGTTACGTGACGGCCGTGGTCACGTGATGCAATTCTGTTCCATTTAACTGTTTTCTTTGACCAAGGAAGGACAGTGGCCTTGCAAGCAAGGCGGCTGGCCTCACAAGACATCGCCTCGCAAGACCAGGCACCTTGACATTGAGAAACACCCACAGTTTTTCATGTTAGGATTTTTTTTATTAAAGGGGAAAAGTCTGGTCCTGTGTGAAAAAGTAACCATCCCCCTGATTGAAGCATGAATGATCTAACTAACTAACCCTAACCACGTTATTTGCAAAGCTGGATTCAATTTCACTAACCAGGTCTGACCTGTAGAGCTAAAAAAATGACTCGACAAAACCTGTTTGACAACAAGAAATCTCCTAAAAGATCTCAAAAAGCAACATACACGTGAAACACGAAAAACAAAAATATGGTGAAAATTGTAATTTGTCAGTAATTCAGCTTAAAATGTGAAACTAATATATGAGTCAGACTCATTACATGCAAAGCCACATATTTCAAGCTTCATTTTTAATAATTGGGATGGTTATATTTTACAGTTTATGAAAACTCCACATTCAACATCTCAGACAATTAGAATATTGTAAAAAGGTTAAATATTCTAGACTCAAAGTGTCACACAATAATCAGCTAATGAATCCAGAACACCTGCAAGGAGTTCCTGAGCATTTAGATGGTCTCTCAGTCTAAGCTGCATTACTGACATAAACGAACTTTTGCAGAAATGTTCACTTTTGTCTCATCAGTCCACTGGATATTTTCCAAAATGTGGCACTTTGTGTTCCCATTGATCATCAAAGGTGTTGGCCCTAGAACTCATGATCCAAATGAGGCCTGCAGTTTTTTAAATGTTCTTGTTTCATTTGTTCTATAGTTTACAGGAAAAACTGGAAAAACTAACACGCTATTTCAGAAGATCAACATCATACCAACAATCAGACATGGTGGTGGTAGGTCTGGGAAGCTTTGCTGCCTCAGGACCTGGACCACTTGCTGCAAGTGATAAAATCTGATCTCTTGCAGAAATACGTGTTCCATAGTACAAAAAACATTCCTATGTCACTTTTCTGTAAAGGAGGGTGGATCAAAATTCCTCCACAGAGATATTAGAGTCATGGCCACTTATCACAAACACTTGATTGCAATTGTTTCTTCCAAGAGTGTTACAGCCAGTCATTAAGTTTAGGAGTCAAAGGCGTTTCACAAAGGTTCAGGTTGGTTTGGATGATTTTGTCTCAATAAATGAAATCTTCTTTTGAAAACTGCCTATTTTATTCAGTCAGTTATTCTTTCATGGTCATGTGCTCAATAAAAATTTACCCAAAAAGGTCATATAAATGCCAAATATTACGGTTCACTTTTATTTAGCCAATACGTTTTTGTTTTATTTTGGTTTAAAAGGGCATGATTCGTTACTGCTGAATGCAAGTCAGCATCAGAAATGCATCTATGAAAGAACCCAGGCCGCTGAAAAAGCTGCAACACAATGGCTCTCACGTCACATCTTCAGCACCTGCTGAAACGCAGCCAGGATGGGCCGCAAAGGAGAAACACAATACGAGTCTGCACAGATCTAATCTTCATCTGAGCTGGAGCAATCTGCGCTGCATTCAGCCCGTAGCAGACACTGCACTCTGACACAAGTAGGGCTTCAGGAGTGCAGTAGAGGAGGACTATTAGTGTTTTTTCAATTGCTAAAACTCAAAAAGCAAAAATGAGGCACAATTTTCACAACCTCTACTTCTGTTCCCAATCGCTTGACTCAGTTTATCACTACTTAAGATTGCTTTATCATATTAGAACTCTGATTTTCCTCCTTTTCACTCTGATGTCAATTTCACATTACCTTGCTGTCAAAACACAGCACACAATTTTCAGGTTTACACACACTTCACACATAAATTCTCAAAGCTTCAATCAACAACACACAAATATTCAAATCTCTAAACTTTCGGGTCTGGCGAGCAATTTGCAATCAGGGACTGCAGCATAAAAGTAAGTTTCCACAAGGCTACCCAGGTGTATGAGTGGTTTCAGGGCCACCCACGGTTTTCCATTTTATACCTTCCACCTTATTCCCCCTTCCTCAATCCCACTGAGGAGTTTTTCTCAGCCTGGAGGTGGAAGGTGTACGAAAGGAATCCACAGAGCCAGGTCCCACTGCTTCAAGCCATGGAGGAGGCTTGTAGAGATGTGGCCTTTGAGGCCTGCCAGGGCTTCATGAGGCACTCGAGGCGGTGCTTCCAGCGCTGTTTGGACCAGGAGGACATCACCTGTGATGTTGATGAGGCCCTCTGGCCAGACACAGACCGGCGGCATGATGGCATTGTGTTCCATTTAGACAATTGTGTTTTCAGTTTTGCTCTTCAGTGTTCTTTCCATGCTTGGTAGTGTTCACCCAAAGGCTACTTGTGTTTAAGCAATGAATGGTATGTGTGTCATGTGAAAATGTGGCTGTGTTTACCAAATGAAAACATGTGTTCCATTTTGGGAACATGTTACGATGTGTGATGGCAGGATTTTGTTGCAAAGGGAAGCCACGGTTTAGAGATTTGTGTGTTATGTTTGAGGTTCTCTTTCTTAACATTCGTTTCGATGTCTCACTATGGGATACGCCCCTCCGCGGATTCCTCAGAAGCACTTATCTCAATACGCCAATCCTGATTGGCCAGTGACCGTGACGTACGCGTCCCCCTGCTACTATAAGTAGCAAGCGTCCCAACGTACGCACTATTCAATCACCTCTTCTCGCTTCGGTGGTCGCTTATCTCTGAGGTAAGTTAGCTCAACTGTTCACAGACGGAGCCTTCTAATATTCTCTCCGTCGCCGAACGTTAACTTACCGTCCTTCTGTCCTGACCTTCACCATAGGCTCGGGGCATAACGAGCAGCTTCACACTCCAGTGCATCTGTTCGTTCTATGCTAACACACCAGTTAGCCAACATGGAAGCCGCTCCTCCCACCAGAGGAGTCGACGGTGCAGGAGCTCGCCTCTGTACCTGTGGGAACAAAATCTCAAGCAAAGACCCGCACAGGGTCTGCTCGAGCTGCGTCGGGCTGGAACACGCCCAGCTGGCATTGGAAGTCCCCGGGTCATGTGAGAGCTGCGCTTGCTTCACCCTGAAGAGCCTTCGCCGGCGGCTAGCGCGCCAAGCTAGCCTGTCGGGGAAGGACCCTTGCCTGCCGGCCCCTGGGCCACCGCCTGGGGACGCCAGCGAACATGTCCTCCCGGAGCCGGAACCGTGTGCCGAACTCAGCTGGGGCTCACAGCTCGAACTGGCCGGTCCGAGCCACCCCGCCGAGGATGTGTTGGAGTTGGACTACGGAGACGACGAGGACACCTCGGAACTCCTCATTTCAGAGGAGGACGAGGAGGACGACGTCTTTCTCCCCATCGCTCAGGCCTCCATGCCTAGCTTTCCGTCCT